CCCGCCACAAAACCCAGCTATCAATTACAATTACACATTCTTTATTAAATCTTGCCATACATAAATAGTGGAACTAAATGACCACACGGTAATAATTTCCAAGCCTTGTTTTAGAGCTTGACATTTGACATGTTTAAATAGATAAACCTGTATTATGAAATACCATGCAGTAATGAAAAAGAATGAGGTAGATCTATGCACACCAATACACAATAAACTCCAAGGCCTTTTAATAAAGCTGCAAAATATATGATTCTAATTACAGTAGAACCTCCATAGTTAACCACCTTCCTACACTGACTAGTTTGTTAAGTTGATCTAATGCAGAAGTCAACCTACTTCCTTCTGTTGACCAACTCTGTATGTTGACTAGTTTACTACAGTTCCTTCCTTCTTCTTTATAGATCAATTTTCATCATGATGTAATGATAGAAATTCATCTTTTCCATCAGTTGAAGCCTCTCTTGGACTCAATGTTTCTACTGTGTATTTTTTCTACAATAGTGACAAAACAATGTATTTGGAATGAATACATGTATGTAAATTATAGACATGTATGTAAATTACAGAAAAAAGGAAAAAGACACAGTGGTAGATTAGTGAAAACCTCTGCATTAATTTTTGGAATTTTCCCCCCAGGGACATTATAGTACTTATATAACTAATGTATTTTATGAAATTAAAAATAAAAACGTAATATAGTCAAATGTCACCTCATGACAGGAACACATTCTGAGGAATTCTGTGTTGTTAGGTAATTTTGTTACTGGGTAAATTTAGGTAATTTTATAAGTGGTAAAAACTATTTGCAGCTAGTTACTAATAAAAGTTTAAATGTATCACATGCATAAAACTAACCAACACTTTTAAAATGTTTTTGTGTACTTACACAAACCTAGATTTAATAGTATAGCCTACCATGTACAGAGGCTACACAGTATAACCTACTTCCTGTAGGCTACAAAACTATACAGCTTGTTACTGTACTGAATACTGCAGCCAACAATAACACAATGGTAAGGGTTTGTGTATCTGAATATATGTAAGTATAAAAAGGTACAGTGAAAAATATGGTATAAAAGATTAAAAATGGTAAACCTATACCGAGCACTTACCAAGAATGGAGTTTGAAGGATAGGAACTTGCTCTGGGTGAGTCAGTGAATGATTTGTGAATACATGTGAGGGCTGACATTACTATACACTATTATAGACTTTATAAACACTATACACTTTGGCTGTCCTAAATTTAAAATTTTTTTTCTTTTACAATAAATTGATTTTAGATCACTGTAACTTTTTTACTTTATAAACTTCAACTTTTACTCTTTTATAATAACTCTTA